AATTAAACAAAGACAATGATGAACAAGCTGCAAATAAAATTTTCGAACCTGTTGTGAAACCTTTGCAAAAATTATTGGATTCCTCGAATCAAATAAAAGAAGGAATTACAGCTGATACATTCAACACAACATCATTACAAAAAGTAAAACAGAATTCAACAATAACAACAGATGATGATGATATTTCTAGTGAAGAAGATACGGATGGATCTGATTATAAGAGCTTAGGTGACGATTGAACAATTATTTATAATAAAAATTCTACAGCTTCAAGCACACCAATCAGAGATGATAAGAAAGATTCATTATCAAAATATTTAAGATTATTAAAAACAAAACATAAAACATTGGATATGCACACTGGTGTGCGAAAACTGAAAGGACATTTGAGGTTTGCTGATTCAGAAATTACATTCCTTGATGATAACATCCGCATAGGTGATCAAACTTATACCAAGACACCTGGGCTGATAGAATTATTATTCAAAAAGTTACCAGACAGTTCTCTTATTTCGAGCAATGATTCAGAAACTTATGGTCTTATAATCAAGCAAACAAATGCACATAAGAAAAAATATGACATCAATGGTAGTATTCGAGATGCGAAAAGCTTTAAATTCAAGAATTACATCGCAAAGCATGTTAAATCATCATCATCAAGAAGCAAAGGTAAAGGATTACCAAAATATAAAGTAGCGACACAAGTTAGCGCAAAAATGGACTATGTCTATTGGGATGATCCCAATGAAGTTGTTGATCGACTTCACCTACTGATGGCGTCCCAAGCAGCTGGAAATACAAGTCATGCTAATAAAATCATCTCTATCATGGAAGAACTTCGTGAAGCTGAAATAATATATAAATATAGTGCTAGCTATTGAAATTGATCACTGTTGCTCCAGCATTCGAACGATGAGTATCGACATATTTGGACGTGAATTGGAAAAAAATAAATCATCAAAAATTGGTCGTCGTGGACCACCAGGACCTGGATTTAGAATCACAGACGATGGTCATTTCAACTTAGAGGACAAGCGATTGTGTAATTTGGCTGAATGTGAGGATTCCAAAGACGCTATATCTCTGAGAGTTGCTCAAAATCTTATTAAAGATGAAGTTCAATTATTAAATGAAGGAAGCTTGCTGATGCGACAAGACATTGATGTAATCATTCAAAACTTAGAAGCCCGAGTGACAGCATTAAAAAAAAATTTCGAAAGTAAAGCAGGAGAAAATAAAATTTCCATGAGACAGGTTCAAGCATCAAACAAATCAAACAAATCAATTATAAGTAATTCTATACACGTTCATGATGAATTGTAATTAAAAAATAATGGGTTCCAATGTAAAAGAAACAATAGCAAATGAGCTCCATTTTCCTGCTCGAAAAAAGTATCCACGACGACATGTTGACATACGTGGACTTGATGAAACTTGGCAAGCTGATCTTGTTGATATGAGTGCTTATGCATCAACAAACAATAAACACAAGTTTATACTTACCATTATTGATATTTTTTCAAAATTTGCTGGGGCTGTTCCTTTGAAGACTAAAAATGCTCAAGATGTGTCTAATACTATGAAATCAGTGCTTAAACAAGGAAGAGTTCCTAAAAATCTACATGTGGATCAGGGGAAAGAATTTTACAACAGTGAATTCAAAGCTTTGATGAAGCAACATGTAATCAACATGTACTCATCCTTCAGCAATCTCAAAGCATCAATATGTAAGCGATTCAACAGGACTCTGAAAAATAAAATGTGGGTAAAGTTTACAACTCGTGGAACTTACAAATGGTTGGATATTCTATCTGATTTGGTTGCAACATATAACAACACAAAGCATCGAACAATCAAAATAAAACCGAAAGATGTTACTGTTGCAAATGCCAAAGACTTATTTATCAACATCTATCAACCGCTGCGGATAAGTCAATCAAAGAAAAAGAAAAAATTCAAGGTTGGAGATAAAGTTCGCATCACAAAATACAAACACATCTTTGAAAAAGGTTACACACCCAATTGGACTACGGAAATTTTTACAATTACTCAAGTAAAAAACACCAATCCAACAACTTACAAACTAATTGATTATCAAAATCAGTCAATCGAAGGTGGATTCTATGAAGAAGAACTTAGCAAAGTGAAATATCCAGACGTCTATTTTATTGAAAAAGTTATTCGTGAACATGGAAATAAACTGTACGTTAAATGGTTAGGATTTGATAGTAAACATAATAGTTGGATAAATAAAAAAGACTTGTAAATATTTTTAACAATAAATTTTATTCATAATAAAAATAAAAAAAATGTTTTTTCTCTATTACAAATATTTTCCATTCACACACTATACACAATATTTTTTCTAACAAACACTCACAGACTCATACTTAAACATAATTATTTACAATAACCCCAAGGTAGCGTATCAGTTTGCCCTTCAATGAGACATCGCTTGTCATCTTGCCATGATAAGGCTAACTTTGACTGTGTGATAGTGCACACATTATGTTTTTTGCTCCGAATCAAGCTTTGCTGTTCACTAAGTTCTTCATGTTTTGTTAAACAATTTATGAAATCATTAAACGTGATAGTTTTTAGAACACTGTGCTTAACACCTTTCGCACGATTTTTTCTTGATCTTTATCATCTTGCTTCTTGAAGACATACAATTTGGCACGAAGTCCAACAAATTCGGCCATTATTTTACCATTGTTTTCATCCTTCATCTTTCCTAACACCTTCTTATTAACCAGAGGAATGCCATAGACATTATCTTTGGGATAATCAGAAGTATCAAAACGATCAATATCATGTTTAATGTTTTCGTAAATGTTTTCAACACAAAAATGATAGATCAAACTATCAGTATCAGTATAAAGGAGTTTAGCTTGATCTGGAGCAAAAGACTTTTTAATACAATTGTAATAAAAATCATAGAGAATTATTTTTGATAAATCGAGAATAGAATAACCAACATAAATTGGTTTATTAAATGTATTTCGAACTCTACTCATTTCAATAATAACCAAGTCCTGGTCAAAAATGGTACAACTGTGAAAGTTTGGTTTTGCAATTAATGATCTCGCATCCCATCGTCCACCCCATGTACCCACTAGCTTAACATCTTTGTGATCCCGAACATTCTCCATGGTTTTACCGAATACAGCATTGTTCATCAATTTATAGAAATTTTTACCAAATTCATCTGTAGCTTTTTTACGGCACTCTGTGTTTAGATCAATATATGGCTTTAACCATGGAGATTGCTGGAATTCTAAGACTGTGAATCTGTTTTACAATCATACCTAGCTGTACACATTGTTTTAAGCTACAGTAATGAATTACATAGTTGTTTTTATCATGTAATGTTGTAGCTAGTTTTGTACATTTACCATTTGGTGGAAGAAAGTGTTCAGGACAAAGCGGTAAGTCTTTGTGACTCTCATGTAAATCTTTTGGATACTCTAAATCCACTTCCAAGATATATCCTGTTGGGTTGTTATCAGGCAAGTCAAGAATGAAATTTAATGATGCATCAACCCATTTAAATGAGCCAGTTGGTAAGTACTGACTCATAGCGGCACCATACAAGTTATTTACATCAAAATACATGATATATGAATTTTTTTCATCGGGATTGTATTCATCACCCATAAATGGGTTATTTGCACGAGCATATCGGTTACAACACTGTGCAACACCACCTCTAACACCTTTTTCAAGGAATAGCAACATAGCTGGGTCTTCCAAAAGATCTAAATTAACTTCAGTGTACTTTAACATACCATCAAATGCTAATCCAGGGGCTGTGTAGTAGTGTAATGGATCCAAGTTGTATGTTTTTTTACAAGTCTTACGGAAATTTTCAAATATATCTGATAATAATAAAACGTCGGTTTTTAAATATAAATCTGAATACTCGCCCAAAGTCTCAATACCGAATGTATTCCATACCTTTTGTAAATGCTCATAATCTTTATTGGAAACATTAGAGTTAGTTAATTTTGAAAAAAATTTGTGTTGATCTGGTAATCTAGGATAGTTTAATTTGTCCCAACTGTCTAAAAACTCATACGGAAAAATTCCTTTCCGTGTGACCAAAGTAAACTGTTTGGGATCAGAAATGTTATTGCGAGTGATTATCAAACAGCATCATTGAGATAGGATGCTAATTTTTCGATACCGCTCGCCATGAATCTAAATGAATCAATAAATCGTAAATAAATAACTGTTCCATCAACTTTTTTCGTAAATGCAATGTACTTTTCCTTATTGATGGTGAATAAATAAACTGAGCCGGCAAATTTTTTAGCTACTGACTTGATTAAAAAATGAGCATCATATCCAGAAAGATTATGAAATACAATCGGGATATTGTGAGACTTTTGATAGAGAATGTTGCATTTAATGTGAGCTGGTCCGCGATATTTACCAGTGAAATGACAGTGATCTTTGCATTTATCTTTTTGAGCGAGATACTTTTTACAAATATGACATTCTTTAGACAATCTGTATTGAAATAATTCTTGATCTGTAAGTGAATGCATTTTAATTGGATTCTTAATGATTTTATTAACTGAAATAGCTAATGATTTTAATCGATCCATGAACCAATCAATACATTTATCACTACGATTAGACTCAAATCTACATAAGCTATTATCATATGAGCAATAAACGTAAAATGCTACACTGTGAGGAATATGTTCTTCACACTCATCGGTTTTAGGCACAATTAGACACTCAATGTCTGCATAGACAACAAATGGTACATCATCTTGATTTTTAAAATTTTTAAAGTTTAATTTTTGATCAATTGGAAGCTCAATTTTAACTTTATTGTTTTCAACACAATCCCGACGATGTTTTCGATAAACAGTTTTCTCTTGGAAGTGACATAAACATTGATCACAAAAGAACTTACGAATTTTGTGTTTCGAAACTTGCATACTAACTAATCGTGGGAGATCATTAATTAAAACAAAATGAAACTTACTTTCAAAGTTGGCAATCCTATTCTCGATGTCATCAATATTCATGTCATCAATATCCATCCCCATATCTTCGGATGGAACTTCAACCATGAGAAGGTGAATTGTACGCTCATCTGAATCTTCTTTACTCAAATAAAGTGGCACTACCACACATGTTTCTTCATTCTTGCAGCACTCCTCCTCGGACTCTCCATCCTCCTCATATTCAACACCATACACATTGATTGATAAATCATTCATTTTTTCAAACTTTGGTATATCTTTGAGAGTCATTGGAAATTTAATTCCATGATAATTCAGGACTCTACTGTAATGAGGATATGATGAGACACGGCTTACATTTTGACCCTCATGAGCAGGATAAAGAGCAGCAACCACAGACCACAAAAAGCAAAAGTTATCATTATTCTTGATGTTGATAACAGCACCTTTCTTCCTAATGTGACGAGGCATGGTGATGAAAGTTGTATTATTTCCGCCTTCCAGAGGCATAAATTTGTTGATATTGACTGTGATGTTCATAACTTCCATGAGTGACCACCCAGAATCACGATGTTCAAAGTCATCAACTTTAGCTTGAAGAGAGTCAATAATAAATTCATCAACCCAATCACTGAGGTTCGTTGATGCAAAAATACCCTCATTTTTGGTTGGAAAAGTCTTGGTCTCAATGATTTGATCTTCACCACCAGGTTTCCAAAATTTAGCTGTTAATATGACGTTGACTTTAAGGCTAGCATCTACCTGCAAGGCACTTTGCAACTGATTGATGATGAGTTCTTTGGCATCTAGAAGAAAGTTCTTCAAATCGATGTGAAGCAGATTGACAACCATGCCGGTACGGATTCTTCTGTTAAATGCACTTTGAACATCTCGCCAAATCACACGAGTGTCATTTAATTGTACACCCAAATTGGGATCAACACCTCCACCAACTACACCTTGTTGTTGTCTTTTAAATCTCTCATGATGAGAACCAAGCTGTGTAATGTAAAATTGAATTTTCAATTTTTAATGTACATTCAAATCTGGAGATTTCAAAATTTCTGTCAGAGCATTAATGTGTTCTTCTGCAATATCACTCCACTCGTTAATAATCTGATCATGATCAGCAGGTGATAGACCAGGAAGTTCATCATAGGCACTTTCCATGGCTTGAATAATTTCATCATACTCATCGGTATTCATTATTAAAAAATACACACAAACACTCACAAACACTTGTTTATAACTTTTTTCAAAATTACAGTTGAAGAAAAAACTATACTTTGTAGGTTATGTTGCTTGTTTACAAGTCAGAAAGTTTTATGATCGCTCAGTGAGCTCGTCATCTTTATATATCCACGAGAACTCTGGTGGGGACACTGGTAATCTCAAAGATGATGCAATTTACTAAAAATATTACATCAGTTCTAAAAATATTACATTAGTTCTAAAAATTTTCTCAGTACAAGCTTTGTCAAACATCTCTTCATTGGTCACGTAGATTTCAGAGGCGGGATTAGTGAGCAAGTGGGGGATGGTAAAGTATGGGGATAAATAGCTTTGTAGATGGCGTTAGTTGAATATTCTACATATTCTATAGTTTAGTCAACTACTGAAAGCAATAGTCTGAGTGAGGCGTTACTAAAATATTCTTGGAAAAACTAAGCATACTTGGTTATTTCATCAGATTATCGAGAAAAATTTTAACGGTTTTGAAGAGGGCGTGACTAAAATATTACATCAGATTCTTAGGAATAAGTACAACGGTTTTTAGAGGGAGGTGCTACTAAAATATTCTTGAGAAACTCAACGGACATATAATTTTAGGAATCTTAACGTATTTTGAATTTAGAAAACTCAACGGACATATAATTTTAGGAATCTTAACGTATTTTGAATTTAGAAAACTCAACGGACATATAATTTTAGGAATCTTAACGTATTTTGAATTTAGAAAACTCAACGGACATATAATTTTAGGAATCTTAACGTATTTTGAATTTAGAAAACTCAACGGACATATAATTTTAGGAATCTTAACGTATTTTGAATTTAGAAAACTCAACGGACATATAATTTTAGGAATCTTAACGTATTTTGAATTTAGAAAACTCAACGGACATATAATTTTAGGAATCTTAACGTATTTTGAATTTAGAAAACTCAACGGACATATAATTTTAGGAATCTTAACGTATTTTGAATTTAGAAAACTCAACGGACATATAATTTTAGGAATCTTAACGTATTTTGAATTTAGAAAACTCAACGGACATATAATTTTAGGAATCTTAACGTATTTTGAATTTAGAAAACTCAACGGACATATAATTTTAGGAATCTTAACGTATTTTGA